TTAAAAACAGTTTGGCCATATTGAAGATTGGAGTGATGAGAAAATAGAAGGGGAGAGCGGAGAAATGTATATTCCTGTGCCTGTGTAATATTGTTCTGAATGACAGGTAGTGCTGTGAAAAGATCTTCCAGCTCTCTGCCTTGAGACAGGAAATTAGTTTGATGACCAGGGCTCAAATTAAGTGGCAGAATTAACTGATCCAAGAGCGTGGGACAGAGAGGAATGGGAATGGGGAGAGGCTGAAATTGGAACAAGAAGCCCAGGAAAAGAAGGATGGACAGAGAAGCTTGAGAAGTGAGAGAAGCCCAGGCTGAGAAAGCAGGACTAGATAGACCAAGACTTGCTAGCAAGGAGAATAGGACCATCAGAGGAAAGCAAAGGCCAGAATTGGGGTGGCAGCAGGTGGGAAGAGCTGGGTAGGAAAACCTCAGGCTTGAGGCTAGCAGGTAGGATAGCAGGTTTCCACAAAGCACCTCTTTCAAGAAGCTAGAGCAGCACCCAAAGTATTTCTTTCTCATACTCCCTTTGTTACCAGGAAGCAAGCTGGCAAGGCATCCTGCTCCTGCAGCACTAGCAGGTTGTCATCTTCCCTTTGTCGAGTCAAATGGCAGAGGCCCGTGCGGAACTGAGGGCTCCAGGTCTGCAGATTAGCCATATGGCTGTTGGCACAACATCACAGAGTGGGAGGCATTTGTCTGGCTTCCTCTTGGTAGGAACCTAGGAAACTCTTGTCCTTTACTCAGGGTCTTAATGCTCTCATTTCAACATCAAATGAAGCACTCGGGGTTAGGGAGTGCTGAAATTAAAGATGCTTGTCCATCGTGTAACTTTTTTTATGTGTGAGATAATTACCAGCACCCCCACTCCCAAAATGTGCTTTGCTCAATGAGAGAATTGTATGCATATAATGCACTTTTTGTCTGGCTTTGCTGCAGAAGAAGGTAAAATGCAATGTGAGACTCAGGGAATTACCTGAAGAAAATGGCTGTAGCAACCACAGGAACGTGATCTGATCCTCCAGGCCAGCTGAGTTTTTGTGATGTTGAACTAGTCATTTTAAGCTAAACTTTTCCAAGGCTATCATTAGCAGTTGTACCTAACTCATTTGAGATGCCTTATTCTAGAGCCTGGAAGAAGATTGGTAAAAATACTGCACACTCTGTTCTGAAAGAGAAGTTTCAGAAAAGCATTTCTTAGGCATCTCAAATCAAGTACTGCTCAAATCAGCAGATACTTCTGAAATTGTGCCATCTGTGCCTTAGCTCACTCTCCATGTAATGGTAATAATGCTACTTCTAAATGAAGGTTGTAGGAGACTTTGAAAATAAATTAGCTTAATGTTTTGTGATGCAGTCAAGAATAAAGAATTGGATGAGGATGAAGGCTGGAGGAATAAAAAGGAGCTGGAAGATTATACTATAAAGTACAGTGTCATGCACCTAGCATCTAATGCAAATGTATGCTATAAACATGGAGTTCATCAACTGGAAACTACAAAGGAGGAAGAAAGATCTGGGAGCATTGCTGGATCTTGTGATAAGTGAGGCATCCCTTTCATGATCTTGGAAGGTCTCAATGGCTATGAGAAAAGCAGTAAGGCTGTTGGGCTTTTGGGAGAGCTCATCTGGACACTTGTCTATACTTCAGTCTTGGCAGCAGAAAGATGAGAGCAAACTGGATAAAGTGCCCAGTGAGGCTGTGAGCACATGAGAGGAATGGGTGGCCACTTTTAAAAGGTAAAGGAAAATGTGTGGCTTATTGAGCCTTGCAAAATGAAGATGGAGGGATGAGTTAGACAGCAGTTTGTCTTATACCTGAAGGATTTAACAGCAAGATGGAGGCTAGCGGAGCTGAGGTACAGTTTTGGACACAACAGTCCTTAGGTTTGAGGTGAATGGGAATAAGTTGAGGCTGAAAATGAAGTAGTTTTTAGGATAATAGTCTGGGGCAGCAGCCCAAAGGACAAAATGAAAGGAAGACACCTGATTGGGCTGGAGATGAGGCTTGAACCCTTTGAGAAGAATGTGAGCAGGGCCTGGGCTCAGACTCAGGAGAGTGCAGCCAGATAGATGTGCTAATTGTAGCAGATGCAGCATGCATGCTTGGACATCCTGCATACAGTGTGTGTGGGTGGTTGACCTTTTCCTTGTCTCAAGAGAAATCAAGTCATTAGGAATTACCTCTAAATATTCTGGCCCCGTACTGCAGAGCTTGAGCTGCTTTAATCTTAGTAAACCTTGGGGAGCCAGATTACCAGCATATCTGCCCTGGAGAGTCTGGGAGCATGTGAGATCTCTTTCAGATGGCTGGTTTTTAACGTGCAGCCAGAGAGGTCTGTTGAATGCCTGAGCGTGAGTGGAAAGGAGGGGATGTTTGGGCTCTCTCCATTAGCATTTCCAAGATGCAGAAAAGCCTCATGTCTGTTTGCTCCAGGATATCTATTTGTCCTGGTTTATGCAACATATTTGAATTGAAAGTTGTGCAAGGGCTGAAGGAAGAAATGCATTGGCTAAGTGGAAACATTGCCACTCTCAGCTTTTGGGTAGCCTCTGCTTCATGTTTGCCACATGCAATTCATATCGGTAAGAAACGTGTCACTGCTGATGTGATGTGCCGTGTCATAAAAGCTTTGATGACATTTTGTGACCTCTTAAAAGTCTAACAAAAGAGGTTTGCAACATGTAAATGCTGTCTGCCACAGCAAAGCAGCTTCCCAGTTCTCTAATCACATATGCCTCTTGTGAAATGCTGCATCACCTTGAAAAAAATCAGCATATTAATGAGGAAGCTTGTCATTTCACTCATTCCCAGATTCTTTACATAATTCATCTATTAACTTTTTTTACTTATTAAGAACCCTGAGGGGTGGAAGTTGCAGCAAATCCATGATAGCTTAGGAGTTCTGTTTCATTAGAGCTGTATTTACTTTCTGATTTTTTGGTACTCTGAATTGGAACCATTCTCCTTATGATCTTAATCTTTCGCAGATACTCATGGGGTTCACAGATGGAAGCGTGTAAAGTCTGAGCTGTCTCAGGAACATGTAACAGAACTTTTGGGGGGGGTGTAAAAAGAGGAGAGTTTTCCTCATTAACCTGTGCTTGTTCCCTTAGTCCATTATGGGAACTGAGATGTGCTAATTATTTTAAATTGATTCAACATGTGCCACACCCATAGACTCAGATTTGGGATAAGGAGACCAAACTTTGGTTTCAGTTTTTGCCAGGCTGACGGCTTATATAATGTACAGTTTTGAATCAGTAGGGATGATTTTTACAGCCTGAAAAAAATAAGCAGTGTGTTTCATGCTTGGATGGGAGAGAAGAGCACTTTATCCACTTATCTTTTACTTCGCATACTGCTGTTGTTGGGTGCTCTAGCTTTTACATGTCAATAAGACAAACTTCTTAAAGAGAGGGTTTATTGCAGGAAATGTGTGCATTTGGGTACACATTGGCCACATATATAACATGCATTAATTTCTGAGTAACAATGAACAAAAACTACTTCAGATGGTGCCGAGGTGGAAAACTGCATCTCTACAGACTGTGATGAGAGGCAACAGATCTACCTCCTGCCATAAACAGTGCTTTTGTGTGCTTTCTGAGAGGCACACAAGCATTGTCTAGCCCTCACAGCCATCCCTAAAGAAGTTAAGTCTGTTTTTATCGCTGTATTACAGGCAGAGAAGGAAGTATGCTGAAAAATGAAGTGACAAGACTAGCAAATCTGTGTAAGCAGCAAACCAAGATAACCAGAAGCCCTGGCTTGCCAGCCTGTCTCATTACATCACACCCAAGTGCCCTGGGCAAACCCTGTTCTTTGAAACTCTGTTTGTATATAGCATTGGGGATAGAGAAAGCTTCAATACTGATCCCAATTCTGATAGGACCTATCCTCAGGCTCCCTGTGGGTAAAAACATCTTTTCATTTCTTCATTGGGGTATTGAGAGGTGATGCTAGATGTGCATAGCTGTCACCGAGTGGATAAATAAAAAAAAAAAAATCACACAGGGAGAAGAGGAATCAAGCAGCCTGTGAGCATCACTCTGGATGTAATGTTTGGAGGTGGCAGTGGTATGTTCTCAGTCCAGCACTTGCAAGACTAAGTCATTCCACCGTGCTACTCCCCTAGTAGCAGACCATATGGTAAGGTCCTGCTGTGCACGTCCTGCCCCAAGGGTCACGCTCACAGATGGAGCGATGAAACTGAAAAGCTGGCTATGGAGTTCAGTAGGTTTTTTGTGACTGCTTTGCCATGCCCCATTTCAATTGCCTCTGTGTTTGATCTGTTTTTATAGGTCCTGACAGGGTCTGTAAAACAAGCTTATTCTTCATTGCCATTCATACAATTCTTATCTTATCATTCTTAATTTTAAGAAGTTAATATTGGAGTTGTGTGGGATAAGTTTTCTCACGTGCTGCTCTGCAGTAGTGACTGTTTTGCCTGTTTTGGCCCTAAAAGAGTAGGAGAAGCCATCTTTTCTGCAGCAGTTGCAGGGTGACAGTGGTTCTATTAGCAGTTGCTGCAGGCTGGTTGGTGCAGTGTAAAACTACACTCTATTTCATTGTGAAATTAGCCTGTTCATGTGGCCTGGGAGATACCAGTGCAAGCACCTGAAACAGAGGATATTTGAACTCCTTAGAGTATATTGTATAGCTTTTTATCACAGCCCAGTCATAGCTGACATTTAAAATGTGCAGCAAGAAAGAGGGAGGGAGATTAGGAGATGTCTCAGTGGAGGTATTGCAGCCCATCTGGGCTTTTCAGAGCGAGAAACTGTACCCAACTGGGTATCACTGGATGGTATCAAAACGCTTGCTTTGTTGTCTGCTTAAATAATAACCAGGTACACTGTGTGTGGGAAGGGATTGTCGGGGGAGAAAAGCTACTTAGCATCAAGGCAAGGAAACAGCAAGGCACTGCTGTTTCTAAGGCTGTTTGAGGAGCCAGGCCTGCTGCTTTCCTTCCAGTGCTTAGCAACTTTTTTTCATTTTAGGAACTTTCCGCTGTACTTTCTGTGAGACTGAAGTGGAAGAGGATGAGTCGGCAATGCCCAAAAAGGATGCAAGGACACTCGTTGCAAGATTTAATGAGCAGATTGAGCCCATCTATGCGCTGCTTCGTGAGACAGAAGATGTTAACTTAGCCCGTGAAGTCCTGGAGCCAGAACCCACAGAGATTCCTGCCCTCAAGCAGAGGTGGGAACATGCCTGGTCTTCTCTTACTGTGCTGCTTCCTTGTAGTGTGTTCATCTGCCCTGTGAGGCTTTCCCAAACCTTATGTAGCCTCTGGCTGCATTGAGGACTTGTTTGTTCAGCGCCAACTATGCGAGAAACTGAGAGATTGCCCAAGGAATGTGTGGTTTTTGAGGAGACAAAGGGCTGTAACCATTTCTTACTGAACAAGGCATGTGACAGTTCTCTGGTCAGCCTCCTCTGTGTAGCTTTCTGTGGGGTGGGATACTTGCTGTGCTGCTGCTGGTATGTACAACCAGGCCCTTGCCCCAGTCTTTAAGAAATGCAAAATGCAGCTGCTTGACAAAGCTCTGAAGGTGCCATCTATGCTGCCTTTTTTCTCTCAAACACTTATCATTCATCTATTCCTTTTGCTTCTACCCAGCTTTTGAAACTAAGCTATCTGCAGGCTACACCTTGCATTTCAAATCCACATATTACAACAGTCTAGTTTGAAGACATTACTTGTAATAAGGGTATTTTTTCCTTCTGATTTTCTCCAACTTGTTACATACCTCTTCGTTTCAGGAGGAGACCATGTTGGAGTCAAAAACTCCTTAAAATGTTCTTACCCATGGGAAATGACACTTTCTTTCAGAACATTCCTAGCTGTACGAAAACAGATGATGTTTAAATAATGCAGAAAGATGTGGGGAGCTGTCAGTTTTGTCAGCTGTGGTGAAATGTGATGCACTTCTCTGTATTTAAAAAAAATTAATTAAACACAAGGGGGAAAAATGTACCATGAGGGGAAGCATTCCCACAATACCTTGGGGTTCTTGCCTTTACTTAATGGGAGAGCAAGCAGGATACTCTTTTTTTTCTCTCAGGCTAACCTTGAGAGAGAGTGTTCCTCATATATTCATGCTAGACAGTTTCTAATTAATATAATAAAAATGCTTTGTCTGTTCATGATCTTTTTCTAGCCAAGAAGGTAGCTATTTTCCCTCAGCATTCTGATAGAAAAACAGAAGCTGCATAAAGAGGGAAAGATTTTTCCAAGGTCACTCAACATGTCTTTGGCAATATGAGGAATCTTTGAAGCCTTTATACCCAAGCTGAATAACTGGACTTCGCTTTAAAATCCCTTTTCTGTAGTTTGAGTAGTAGAACTGGGATAACCTTACCAAAAAGAGAGTAATTTCTCGGTCTTCCCCTTTCGTGTACAGGAAATTATCACAGCAGAAGCCTTGGTGCAGTCCCATGATTAAATAGCAACGCCCACTAACTTGACTCTTAAATACTTAAAAAACATTGTAAATGATTAATTACTCTGTGCAAGGAATGACAAAATAAATAGGCAGCTTTCTTAAATGCTTACTCGAACACAACTTGCTTCAGCACATACAATGAGTTAATTATTTATTAACTGTTATTAATTCAAAGCAGCTAATTCCATGGAAGCACTGCTGTGAGATTTTTTTTTTTTGAAAGTGCCAAACCCTGGGTTATTTATTCACTCCATTTTTCTGGAGTCTTGAGTGTCTGAAATCATTGATAAAACTGACATTTGGTGATTCTGAAACAAAGGGAAAAGGTCACAAGATGCCTGCATCGCCCTAACACAGCAACTTCATGTGTTTTCAGGAGAGCTACAGCTCTAAGCAACCACACTGACATTGCATAACTGTCATTCACCTGCCTTGGGGAACTGGGTAGATCTTCATTTATATTTTTCTGAGAGGCTGTTAATTTTCTTAATCTCGGCAGAGCATGAATTAGCCCCACAGGTTTCAACATAAACCTGCTTTACTTAAGTCCTTCTCTGTGGTTTTCAATAAATTATGGATTTTAATAACCCCTTCATTTTCTTGTGTCAAAATAGCATGATTTCAATTAAGGAAAAATCTTCAAAGAATTAATTTTCTGTGGTCATGCTGTCAAGAACCATGGGTTGTCTGTTTTGAAGTTCAAGCTCTTAAAAGCAGCACAGTGAAAAAGTGTTTTATTTCAATCACAGCAAAAAAGAGTTATCCTCATTATGCAAGACCTTTCTTAAATCTGGGCAGGATTGAGATTGAAAATTTCAAGTTGTTTCCCCATTGCACAGTGTGGTTTCTGTGGGCCAGACCTCAGCTGTGTCAAGGACTATATGTGTTGTCTTTAAAGGCAGTTGACCACTCATTGAGGGATTTCTGTCAGGGTAAATAAAACAACTGAGGGGTGACAGAGCACATGTAGCCACATCTGGGCCACTGAGCTGCCACAGTTCCTGGCTGCAGGATGGCCATGCAAAGTCTAGACCGGGATGGGGAAAAAGCAGATCATGAGAGAAAGAGAGATTTAAGAGTTGCACTCCCTTCATCTGCTCTGTGCTGCCTGTAAGGTAGCTCACACACCTGTCCTTCTGCTGGTGCTTGATCCATGGTGCCAAATCCTTTACTTTGGAACAGGGTTGCTGAAACAGTAAGGTCTTTTCCTGCAGGAAGGAGTATTCCCCTGCTCATGTAGTCTTGAGGTGTTGCTCACACCTACCAATAGTGTTGCTGAAGATACAACAAGGAAGTAAATTGAGGCACATTTGCAAAGCTCACTGGGGTCCAAAGGTAGACAGAAAGTGTCTAGATGCTTCCACCTAAGTGTGGGACGTTACAGTAAATGGCTTGAAGTAATTAGCACTGTAGGTGTCTCTTAGAACTGTTACTTCATTTTTAAAATGTTCCTGACGTCATGGAAAAAGTGTTTTGCTGCTTAAATGATACCGTGTAGGAAAAAAAGTCAATTTCAAGCACACTTGCAGGGGCTTCTGTGCAAAAGTATTATTAGGTAGTTCCTGGAACTACTGAGTATTTAGCTGTCACACTGTAGTCATGGGGAGGGAGAACTTGGGGGAGAGATGCATTGTGCATCTTGTGAGGAAAGTGGATTACATAAAATCGTCAGGGAAACGCTAGTTAGAGATTTCTATTGTGTGGGAAGCAGAGTGGTGCTTTTCACAGAACACACGCCTGTCTTGGAGAGCTGAAAGGTACCAACACTTGAAATAACACGCTGGGAAGAAGGTCTCTGTGTGGTTCCTTGGGTTATATAAGCAATACATGTGCAAGAACCTTCTGCCCCAAAATCCAAGGCTGCCGTGAGGCTCTCCTAGCAGAGCTGGCTGCAGGAGAGAACTAAGTGTGTGTAAAAGTGCTAACATGGATGCTGTGAAGTATTTTGCTAACAGACCCAAACTGTGGCTGAACACACCAGTATTTTTTGTCTGGGGAAGAGTTCACCTACCTGTGTATTTTCCCCCTGCTGTTTATCCCTAAAAATCCAGCAGAATTAGCACATCGAGCCATGGTTAAGTCCTTGCTGAACTAAAATAATTCCATATTCGTCAGGTCTTCTCCAACTCCAACTTTATTTTAAGCTTCTTGGTTGGAGGAAAGGTCACTGGGTAGACAGCAGTAGCTGAACAATGCTCACTGATGGCAACTGTCAACTCAGGTGGCATCATTGAGCATCCCTGATGGATTTGCTCTGGACAAGAGGAGGAGTCGAGGCAGGGCTGTTACTCCTGAAAAGCTGTAGGTACCACTGGCAATCAGGTGACTGAAATTATATGGCTAAGGGTGGGTGCAGTCTGCAGTGGATCTGTTTCTCTGAAAAAATGAAATATCATTCTGAAATAAAGGAACAGTCACATCTGGCTTTCCCCAACCAGAGAGCAGTGAGTTTCCATTCAGCTGCTTTCCCTGATCTATGTGTGTGTCGCAGCACAGGCCAGAGAGTATTTTAGGCTTGTTGCCATCATCACTGCAGAAAATACTCCACCTGATGTCCTCTTCCAGTCTGATCCAGGCAGGAATGTTTTTCTCCATCAGTCTCCTGAGCTAGAAGGGGCTCTGGAAGGAAATTTGCTGGCTGCAGCTCCTCTCAGAAAGCAAGGGAGGGCTAGGCTTTGACTGCCATACCCTTTGCATCAGTCATCACCTTTCTCCAACTTTTCCACGGTGAAAACAGTTATTCTGTTTTGCCTCATCCTGCACACCATCAGCACACACTTGGCCCAGCTCTAGTCCTCTGGTTTGAAGATGCTCTCTCCTTTCTCCTCTGCCTTGACTCCTCAGTCTGCCCAAGGCTTTGTCTGTGGATAGTACAGATCAGCTGTGTAACACAGGATAGGCGACTTAGCATGTGTTGTCGTTTACAATTCAAGCAAAGGTTTGAATTATGTTTCTCTTGGTGAGTTAACTCCTTCACGAGTCCTGTGATTAATAATGGTTCACAGATCTGAGCATGCTGAGTCTCAGGGCCTACAATCTGCCTTGTTTACCCTTTTGTGATTTTTTAATGCAGTATATGGTTGCTGTGTGAAGGCCAAGATCTGCCTTGTTTACCCTTTTGTGCTTTTTTAATACAGTATATGGTTGCTGTGTGAAGGCCAAAAAGAGGCTTTACCAACACCAGATTGCTGTTCAACCATGTTTTGCTGCTGCGGTTTTTGTTTCAGAGAATTCCAAGATTTTATGTTTGTTCTTACATGAGTACATCTGCATCTTTAGTGCTGCCTCCTCTTTTCCATGTCTGTGTTTGATGTTGCTGTGGTCTTATGTAGGGTTTCCCATTAGAGATCCACAAGTTTCCCAGACCAGCAAGCTGGTGCAGAAATTCCTGGCAGCATGTGTTAGAAATGAGGATACAAGTTCCCAGTGCAGATCCCGGGAGATAACTAATCATAGTTCAAGTGTTTCTGGCTAAGGAGGGGCTTCTTCTGACTGCTCTGTTTTTGTCTCTTTGACTTCCATGCAGCAAGGAGCGTGCAGCTGGGGCTGGTTCAGGAGCAGCAGCTGGCCTTGCAGGTGGACACCATCGGGAAGCATGGAGTACAAAAGGACCATCTTATGAGGACTTGTATACCCAGAATGTTGTCATCAGCATGGAGGACCAGGAGGATCTTAACCGGTCTGCAAGTGAAGGCAAGCCAGCCAGAGAGAGACCCATCTGGCTGCGTGAGAGCACGGTGCAGGGAGCTTATGACCCTGATGAAATCAAAGATGGTAAGAAAATTCACAAAGCACAAGTACTACTCTGCTTACACCATGCTTTCAGAGTCCTGTCAAAAGCATGTTACCCTGTGTGTACAGAGCAGCTGCTGCCAGCACTGCAGAGTTTGTCTTCTCCCTTCTGCTGTGCCTACCTATGTGTAGGCAACGTAAAAAATCCTGATTCATTGGGACTGGGATTGAAATCTAGGTCAGTAAAGCTGATCTGTCCACGAAATTTTGTGTGGGCTTCTGAAATGTTAATTAACTGTTATGTCTTCCACCTTGAGAGTTTATTGCTTCTAGATGAAGGTCTTTCAGTCTCATCTAGAAAGCTGCCTCCCTAATAGGTCACTGCTGAAACATAACATTTATTAATGTTCAGTGACTCTGAAACCTACCAAATCTACCAGCAGTGGTGGTATGCTCCCAGCCTTCTTGCCAATTGTTTCTCAAAACATGTTATGTATGAAGAATACTCAGAAATAAAGCTTCTGGAAGTACAGTAGGAAGGTCTGTCATGATGGCAGGTGAGTCTTTATTGCTTTCTCTTTGTTTCTCATTATCTTTGCTTTTAGTTTCATTCATCTTGGGGTCAGGTTGTCCATAAACCATGGTCAAGTTCTTGTAACCACTAACGTTCTGCTTTGGTGTGTGTGTTGTTTAAGCTTATACACTGAAAATAGGAGACCTTTTATGATTTTTACAAGAGTCAACAGATGCAATCTTTGAAGTCATTTGAGGATTATAGACTGAAACTCTTGATGCCCTAGGAAGAAAAGATGACAAAAGGGAAACACGTGTGAGCGTGAGGCCCTGGAACTAGTGCAGTGCTCAGGAGAGAAGTATGTAGGTACAGCAGAGGTGAAGAAAATAGATGTGATATAATGATCAGAAGATATCCAAAGATCTTGTTCACTTGTAATGCCTTTCAAGCATACAGATCCCAAATCATTTCTCAGATAGGTTAAACAAAATTACATGATTGGAACAACCTGCTTCTGCAGTCTGTAGCAGATGTTGTTACTCACCAGCATGGTGAGTTCTCACCCTGTTTTTCTGCTAGACATTCAGTTCACCTGTAGTTTTGAATTGGCTCCTTGAGATGATTTTTGCTGTACACAGCCTAAATGTTTCTCAGATGCCACTGAAGGACATGGAGGGGGGAATATAACTCATTATAGCATGATGGCATCACTGATTAACCTCCACAGCTACTGGAGATCAGAGAGGGGACTTGGGGAAATGGCCTGAAATTGCTGCTGCAACACATAAACAGGGAGGACAGAAACCTGGGAGCGTTGGCAGAAAAGATTCACTGCTTGTATCTGGCAGGAAGAGTTCTTGCAAGCAAGGGACATCCCCACTCCTGAGCCACAAAATCAGATTTTGTGGAGCTACCCCAGGCTGTTGTCATTTCTCAGCTCTCAGTGTGATGAGCAGTGGTATTATTTCACAGAGATGCTCTCCCATAGCCTTTTTTGCATAGTGCAAATGCAGAACTTAATTCCTTAGTTTACTTGTTTGGCAGAACTTCATCTCAAGTGGAAAAACATAACCAGTGCATTTCTGACCCCAGTGGGGGAAGGCTTGTGAGCCACCTGCCTAGATGTGGTGCTGAAACCATGAGGGTCCATGTCTTGGAAGAGCAGGCAAGTGGCATTAAAGTGTGAAAGCAGAATGCCATCATCTCAGCTCCAGCAATTGTTCTTAGGCAGCACCTTTTGGTGCAAGACAGAATGTTTGCCACAGAGAGCTACTTTTTAGGCCTTGTTTTTCCTTAAGGTTCTCCATATTTCATTTTCTGTTTTGTTGGGTTGGGTTTTTTCCATACTGCCTGTAGTTTTATTGGTGCTGGGTGGACTCTCATCAAATACAGGATTAGGAGAAGTTTTCTGTGGAATGCTCCTTTTTGAGCAGAATTTTACCTTTTGAATCCATGAACTGCAGACACTCTGCCTATGCAAGCCTTCTCAAACCCCCTCAGCTATTGTGCAGCCAAGCTTACTGAAAGAGGAGCACAGGCCATGCATGTCAGCTGGGAAACTGCAGTCCCCTTCAAAGTCCAGATAGGGAGCCAGAGAGAGACTGTCTGGGCTGTGTTTCAGCTTGGAGAGCAGGAGTTGTTTTAACTCAGTCTCCCATGCTGCTCTGCACAGCTTGGCTGCAGGCTGTAAGCTGCATCTGCTACACGAGATAGATGCCTCTCCATACCACCACCACGTTCCTGTAATGAGCTTTTCCCCTTCCTGCCTGATAAGTGCACCTCTAAGCTTACCAGACATAGCTGCTCTAAATGTTGTTCTATAACACATGGTTTCCATGTATTCCTTGTCTGCCTGGATCCATTTGCTTTTCTATCATAATCCTGATAGACAGGAAGCTTGGCAGGACAGGGCCTGGTTTTGGGTCTGTATTTTATGGTCTGGGCCAGCAGCACCTCATGGTCTTGGGTCATCACCACAAAGCCCCCAGGCTGCAGTCATACAACCTGGAAACAAAAGGACAAAAAGAAACAGTGAAAAAGCACTGAGAAACTTGCCATATCTCTGACAAGTGTCATCCTTAGCTGCATAATCTGAGTATCTGAAGCCCAGATTTAGCTCCAAAGGACTGTTGTGCTTTCTGCTCCACTGTCGTGCCTGAGTTGGACACCTCCCTGGGGAAGTCTTTTCCAGGTGCCTGCCCATCATGTGTTTGTTGTCTTCACTTGGAATGTGCTCCTGGCCAAGGCTTCCAGCTGGGAGCCATGGTGACCCCAGTCCTCCCAGCTGCTAGGAAATGTCAGTACTTGCTCTGCCATTATGAGAAAAAACATAACTATCTCTGTCTTTTAAGGGAAAGGAGAAGGTGGCTTAGCAAAAGGGTATGACTTGGCCAAGCATGCTCAGTGGCAGTAAGAAGGGTCAGTAAACCTTCAGGGCCGTCACACAGGTCTCTGTGAGGAAATGACCATTCATTCCCCTGTGTCTCTTTGCAGGGGGCAGGGACCTGGATGCGTTCCAGGAGCGTGAGGAGAGCCGGGCAACCCTGGATGATAACGAGGAGGTGATGCGTGCCCTGCTCATCCATGAGAAGAAGACACCTTCTGCTTCAACCGTCACCGTCGGAGGTGCCGCTCCTCTCTCCGGGGGCAACGCTAGTGACTCCGAGAGTGAGACGAGTGAGTCGGAGGAGGAGTCCCCTCCCCGCCCTGCTGCCACGGCCACCACCACATATGGGCTGGAGGAGGAGGAGGAGGATGAAGAGTTTGAGGTGGTGGCAGAAGACCCCACTGTCACGGTGGCTGGGCGTCCACACACTTACAGCCAAGTGAGCCAGCGCCCCGAGCTGGTGGCTCAGATGACCCCGGAGGAGAAAGAGGTTTACATAGCCATGGGGCAACGCATGTTTGAGGACATGTTTGATTAACTGATTCCTGCCATGGCAGTTTTTAAATAGTGACATGTTAAGCCAGAAACAGAAGACTGAAGCTCATCTTCTCTCCCCTGTGTGCAGGGACACTGCGGCTCAGGACTACTAGTCTCAGGCATCTTGCTCACCAGAGCAGGGGAGCAGGAAAGCTGCATGTGCCAAAACAGGTAGGGGAGGACAAGTCTCAGAAGTGAGGATGCTTGCAAGGTTAAAATCTGCTTCGGGGTGCCCTGCACAGGCACTGCTTTCACCTTCTCCAAGGCCCTAGCAGCTCTGTCCCCCTATTGCTTCGAGTTGATTTTTGTTGCAGATCCTAGTGCAGTCCATGTCCCTGCTCTCAGATGACATAAGGGCTCTGTAGTCTGATCAGAATGCTCTGCAGAGGAGAGCAGAAGTAACACACAGCTGCCTGTGCTCAGCGAGGGGAGAGGAGAGGGAAGCACTAGTCTGCTGGTGTGAAGCTTAGGGCAGGGCTTGTAGCTGACCTCCTGCCAACACCACTGGCCACTGGTTTCTAAGCAGGTCTGTAGGCAGCACCTTTTCTTGTGCCCATTCACTCCTTACTGGGACTCAGCACCTCAAGGTCAGATGTAACTTGAAACATGCAGGGTGAAAGCCTTGGCAAGCACACACAGTCACTCTTTGTCGGTGTAACAATGCTTTCCATGGATCTGAGCTGTCAGTGTGTTCTGATGTAGCAGGAGATACCTTTATTTTCCAGTATTGTCACCTGTTGCTTCTCCCCAGCCCTGTCCAAACTCCAGTGTTGCAGCCAGTTCATAGTGGGCAGGGCTGCTGTCAGGCAGTGCCAGAGAAATGACATAACTAGTTTTTATTTGCAATCTCACCAGGGCTGTATGATTTTAAGGGGAATTATACAGTTTTGAATTCTGCTTGGC